CATGACTAAAACACCAAAAGCAATGGCAACAAAAGCCAAAATTGACAAATGGGATCTAATTAAACTAAAGAGCTTCTGCACAGCAAAAGAAACTAGCATCAGAGTAAACAGGCATTCTACTGAATGGGAGAAAATTTTTGCAATCTACCCATCTGACAAAAGGCTAATATCCAGAATCTACAGAGAACTTCAACAAATTTACAAGAAGAAAACAAACAACCCCATCAAAAGTGGGCAAAGGATATGAAGAGACACTTCTCAAAAGAAGACATTTGTCTTCGCCCTCTCTTGCGGGTCGGGGTTACATGGCGGTGACTGTGGCAAAGCGAGAGCCTCGGAGACACCTCTGCCGCCAGCACAGCCGGAGACCTGAGGCGACACTGGGGGCACTCCGCAAGCCCCACACTCTCTCGAAGAGTCAGAGAAGTCTCGTTGTATCAGAGTAAGATGGATGGGAGCTTTGATTGTGATTGTGGTGAGCTGGAGCCACCTGATCACGAACAAAAGACATCTTCTGTTAACCAACAGCTGCCACAGCTTCCTGTTGAAATAAATATACAGCAACAAAGGAAGAAAAGAAGCAAAACAGAAATAGTGCTTATCAGCACCTTAGAATGATGCTGCTCAGGACCAATCCAACACTGAATGTATCTTCACTGTGAGGAGAATGTTCATAGAAGCCTGTTGTGTGCATATTTATTTACATTTTTGTTAAATGTTAAATCGTTTAGCATGGTAATTTGAGTGTACAGTATGTCATTTCATTCCGTTTGAGTTTCTTGTCTTCTTTAAATGTCTGCAGAGTTTCTGCCGCTTTCTTGAGCTATGAGTACTGCAATCTTTTTAATTCTCAATATGAGTAGAGCTTTTTGAGCTTTAAATCTAAGGGGGACTCAACAGGCCTGTCTGGCATATGCAATGAACATCAAGAAACCATCTTGCTGTGGAAGCATAATTATTTTTCTTCTCACTTTTTGAAAGATCTTTCCTTTTGATGCCAGTTTTCTTCCTTGTTTACACAAGTTCAATTCGAAGGGAAAAGGCAATAGTAAGGGTTTCAAAATGACAGAGAAATTTGAAAGTCTCATGAACATTCATGGTTTTGATCTGGGTTCTAGGTATATGGACTTAAAACCATTGGTTGTGAAGGCAATGGCTTAGTTTCTTCTGCTGTAGACAATGCCTGTGACAGAAGAGTAGCCATCAAGAAAACTGCCCTTACTGATCCCTAGAGTATCAAACATGCTCTACGTGAAATCAAAATTATTAGAAGACTTGACCATAGTAACACTGTGAAAGTGTTTGAAATTCTTGGTCCCAGTAGAAGCCAATAAACAGATGATATGGGCTCTCTTATGGAACTGAACAGTGTTTACATTGCTCAGGAGTACATGGAGACTTGGCTAATGTGCTGGAGCAGGGCCCTGTACTGGAAGAGCATGCCAGGCTGTTCTTGTATCAGCTGCTACAGGGGCTCAAGTATATTCACTCTGCAAATGTACTGCACAGAGATCTCAAACCAGCTAATCTTTTCATCAATACTGAAGACTTGGTGCTGAAGATAGGTGACTTTGGTCTTGCACGGATCATGGATCCTCATTATTCCCAAAAGGGTCATCTTTCTGAAGGATTGGTTACTAATTGGTACAGATCTCCACGTCTTTTACTTTCTCCTAACAATTACACTAAAGCCATTGATATGTGGGCTGCAGGCTGCATTCTTTGCTGAAATGCTGACTGGTAAAACCTTTTTGCAGGTGCACACGAACTTGAACAGATGCAGCTGATTTTAAAATCTATTCCTGTTGTACATGAGGAAGATCATCAGGAGCTTCTCAACATAATTCCAGTTTACATTAGAAATGACATGACTGAGTCACACAAACCTTTAACTCAGCTGCTTCCAGGAATCAGTCGAGAAGCACTGGATTTCCTGGAACAAATTTTGATATTTAGCCCCATGGATCGGTTAACAGCAGAAGAAGCGCTCTCCCATCCTTACATGAGCATATATTCTTTTCCAATGGATGAGCCCACTTCAAGCCATCCTTTTCATATTGAAGATGAAGTTAATGATATTTTGCTTCTGGATGAAACTCACAGTCACATTTATAACTGGGAAAGGTACCATGATTGTCAGTTTTCAGAGCATGATTGGCCTATACATAACAACTTTGATATTGATGAAGTTCAGCTTGATCCAAGAGCTCTTCCCGATGTCACTGATGAAGAAGAAGTACAAGTTGATCCCTGAAAATATTTGGAGGGAGATCGGGAAAAGTATCTGGAGGATCCTGCTTTTGATACCAATTACTCTACTGAGGCTTGTTGGCAATACTCATATCATCATGAAAACAAATATTGTTATCTGGAGTGTAGCCATACTTGTAACTACAAAACGAGCTCATCATCATATTTAGATAACTTAGTTTGGAGAGAGAGTGAAGTTAACCATTACTATGAACCCAAGCTTATTATAGATCTTTCCAGTTGGAAAGCACAAAGCAAAGAAAAATCTGATAAGAAAGGCAAATCAAAATGTGAAAGGAATGCATTGGTTAAAGCCCAGATAGCACTAGAGGAAGCATCACAGCAAATGGCTGGAAAAGAAAGGGAAAAGAATCAGGGATTTGAATTTGATTCCTTTATTGCAGGAACTATTCAACTTAGTTCCCAAGATGAGCCTGCTGATGTTATTGATAAATTAAATGACTTGAAGAGCTCAGTGTCCCAACTAGAATTGAAAAGTTTGATATCAAAGTCAGTAAGCTGAGAAAAACAGGAAAAAGGAATGGCAAATCTGGCTCAATTAGAAGCCTTGTACCACTCTTCTTGGGACAGCCAGTTTGTGAGTGGTGGGGAGGACTGTTATCTCATCAATCAGTTGTGTGAGGTAAGGAAGGATGAACAACTTGAGAAGGAAAACACACTAGTTACTTGGACAAGTTCTCTAGCAGGAAAGAAGATACTGAAATGCTAGAAACTGAGCCAGTAGAAGATGGGAGGCTTGGGGAGAAAGGACATGAGGAAGGATTTCTGAACAACAGTGGGGAGTTCCTCTTTCACAAGCAGCTCGAGTCCATAGACATCCCACAGTTTCACAGTCCAGTTGGGTCACCACTTAAGTCAATACAGTCCACATACCTTCTGCTATGAAATCTTCCCCTCAAATTCCTCATAAAACATACAGCAGCATTCTGATACATCTGAACTAAAACACTCAGCAGACATTTATCTTTGTATTCTTCAGGAAATGTGTTTTGTCTTCTTTTATTACTAGTGTTTAAGTCATTTTTTACTTGAATCAGATGGTGTCATTTAGTAAGGATTTTATGAGTTATTGGTTTTTAAAATCCAAACTTTCTTTTTCTACATGTGAGACAGTTTTCATTTTAACTGGCATGTCATTTGCACACAAAAATAAAGACTAGAGCAAAATAACGTAACGCAGGAGGAGAAAAGAAAAGCACTAAGTAAAGAACATTCTCTCATAGAACAATGATCTGTTTTACAGGAAACAAACCTTGCCTTGAAATTTATACAGTGAGACTGTACATAATTGCATGAAAGTAGCTATTTTTTCTAAGACATTTTTCATTCATGAGTATTTTCTTTTTTTTTAAAATTTATTTATTATTATTATACTTTAAGTTGTAGGGTACA